TTGTCTAGTTTGTCGCTGTGTTCGTTTGTTTTCACACTGTCTGTCTAGCTGTTAATAGTAATGAGATTCATGCTCATGTTCAGTTTTATTAGTATTAAGTAGATATAAATCTTTCTACTAACAGCCACTTGGCACTAACTTTTATACTTAGCTATTCGTGGCAGCACTCAATTATTGGTGTTCGCTATACTTAGGTTTTCTTTTAGACCCTTTGGGAGACTATGACCTTGCAGCCTAAAAACTGTACACCAACATCAAACATAGAGGGTACTGTATCCTTATGTATGCCATTCAGAGGTATCCTACCTTTCTCTACTGTCTATCTCCTCTTCCTCTTTCTTCCTCCCTTCCCCTCTTTTCTGCTGGCTAAATGCTTCATGTATGGCCGATGTATTTCTTGTACATATGTATATTCTGATTTTGTCAAAAATAATCTATCTGAGATATGGGAAACTAAAATATTTAATATTTAGCACATAAATAAAAAACACAAATTCTCATTATCATAATTTAGTTGGATAACCTGTGGGTTATTTGTGTTTAAAAGGTGATTTGAAAGAGTTATGCAATGGGGAAAATTTTATGCTGATTTTAAATTGAAATTATGAACACATCAAATAGCTTTTCCTTTGTCTAAATTCATTAAAACTTTAAATTTGTCTAAATTTTTGTGCATCGTAGATCTATTCATCTGCATTTGTAGTTTTCCCAAAACCATCAAAGATATATATTTGCATATCTTTCCTTTAGTTCTCTCTTTGTATATTTAATATTTTATGATAAAATATAGGCATTGCAATTTTCAAATTGCAGACCTATAAATTCCCACTGGTGTTCATCTGTTTGTTCTTCCTTAATCTTGAGAATGGAGTTAGATAGATGAAAGTCGAGACCAGATATGGAAAGCTTAGGGAGAGGATGGCCTCGATTAACTATAAACAAACTTTTGATCTGTACTAGAAGTCACAAGATTTCAATTCAAAAATTTTCCCAAGAACGAAGTTAGATAGATGACAGGTATGACTGTTAACAGGAAAAGTATGATGTATGGGGCAAGTCACTCCTTGACCTTGACCTCCAAATGACCTTAAAGGTCAAGGTCACGTCTGAGGTCATCAATTGATTGCCCCCTCAACACCCTACAAAGTTTTGTCTATACCTTTTTCCAAAATAATGAGATCCAATTAAGAGTAATCATTAAAAATAATCATTGTCTCAAGATAAAAAATACATCCTATACAAGGCAAATTTACTTCACTTATTTGGGACAGCTCCCATTTTATTGGGACAATATAAAACAACATAAGCATGAAAGAGGATTATATTAATGGGCCAACGTTAAAGACCAAACCAGACGAGTTTGCTACAAAGATAAATCACACAAATTTCAGCTATAGATGGGTGGTTATTGAAATAGTAAACCAGACATTATATAAAATTTAAGAGTGCACATGGTGAAAAAACAGTGAATGCCAAAAAGTGGAAATCAACTAAGTTGCATGAATTTCTGCAGAAATTTAACTGTGATCAAATTTACAACACAGACGAAACAGGGCTATTTTACCATGCCATCCCAGATGGTTCCCTCAGTTATAAACATGAAGTATCATCAAGTTAAAAAAAACAATGAATTGCATTACCATATTGTACTGCTGTAATATGTCAGGAAATAATAAATGGAAGTTATTAGTCATTAGAAGGCATGCTAAGCCTTGATGATGTAAAGGTCTTAGAATGGACTGTTTACCAGTTGAGTATTATGCCAACAAGAATGCATGGATGACTTCCAATATTTTTCTGAAGTGACATATGAGTTGGGATGCAGAACTGCAGATAAAGCCAAGAACGGTTCTGCTACTCTTCGAAACTCTGCTGCTCATCCTCATGTAGAGCATTTGAAAAACATTTATCTGGAGTTTCTTTCGGCTAATACCACTTCCTCGATACACTCATTGGATATGAGAATCATAAAAAAATTTAAAAACATTACCATATTTTAACAGAATGACCGGCATGCCGGTCTATCCAGGGAGACCACAAAATCAGATATTTCCATGTGGTAAAACTCGGCATGCTGGTTTAAGTGAGGTTATACAACCTAAAAGGCGCATTAAAAAAAAAAAAACACATTTTTATTCTAAAACTGTGAAACTGTCAGCATTACACCAAAAACTACAATTATAAATTTCATTTCTTCATTTTGTCTTCTTTCTAACAACGTAAAATACTCGTGGACTTCCGAAAGTGCCTTTTTTATGTGTATTTTATTGTTATTCAATTCAAAAAATGCAAAAATAAACATATTAAATTTAAGAAACTTGCTGTAAATGATCTCAGCTCAGCTAACTTCTATTAACATTGGCTTTGTGTAAAATAAGAGAGGAAAGTGTTATTTTTAACGTCAGGGTAGGTGGTCAGTGTAGCCCTCACTAACTACTACTACTATTACTACTAATGTCAATAAGTAATTAATTATTTTATTGTCTTGTAAACGAAAACTCTCTTCCTGATTTTAAGTCAGTCAAATTACAATTTTATTATCTTATTGTACTCGGAAGAATGTTCTCTTTAATGTTTAACTAACAACTAATTGTGTTAGATCTAATTACTTTTATTTTTAGTTGCAGTTTAACTGGCATGACGGTCATTTTGCGAAAATACAATACAATTTTCTTTTTGTCTGATATACTGTTATTGAGCATTTATTTTGATTTAATAGTTTTATATAATTTTATTTCATTTTGTACTATATATATTGTATTTACTATGTTATAAGATGCCATTGATTCTAAGATGCATCATGAGTTTGAAATTAAATTTTGACATTTTTTCTAAAGAGAGAAAAATTTTTAAGTAATTAATTAAAATCAATATCATCAAGTTTTATTAAGTAACAAGTTAAAAAAAAACAACACAAATGAAATGAAGCGAATAAGTTCTGCATTTTTCTATTTAGAATAATTTTTCTTTTAATGTGCTGCATTCATTATGTAGTTTTGAAATGTGAATTTTAAATGTTTAAGTTTTAAAATAGTTAAATAAAATGTTAACATTTATGTTTTAATTAGCTGAAATTTAATTTTATATTCAATTTACTAAATTAATTTAAAATTAAATTTCTTTTCTTTAATTTTCAATAAATTTCCAATTTTCAGATTTAATTCTTTAGCTTACAGAACCAATTTATATATTAATAAACTGCAAAATTTTTTAAATAATGCTATAAAAATTTAATGGGAATTATCTTAGTAGCAGAAAAAGTATTTTTTGTTTGTTTTCTGTTTTTGATGACTAGAATATCAATTTAAATAAGATCATTTAAAACAACAGAAACAAGATCTGTTCACAATAAGAATAATATGAATAACTAGTATATTCACTTCTCAAGTTTTTATTAAAATGTTGTTTAATAAGTCGGTTTAGATTTTCAGATCAGTTAGGTTAGAACTAATAAATAATTCCTTTCCTAGTTTAATTCTCTATAGACATAATAGTTCAAATGCTTCAGACAATTCAGATTGTATAAATATGTACTGTACAAATCAGTTATTATAAACATCTTACAATAATGAAATGAAAAATCCAGGACTAAACATGTATTTAAAAATGTAAAAATATACAATATTGAAGACTTAAAAACATACATACAGTAGTTGTAAATGGACATTTAGAATTATTCAAAAGGTTTTTTTGTATAAACCTTCAATATTGTATATTTTTACATTCAAAACTCAAAATAAATTTCTTATACAGGCCAATAATTTATTTAAAAAAAATCAAAAATAAGTATTCAAATAATAGTCAAAACCAATAAATAATGATCCAAAAAATATGCTTTTAAAATTTCAATTTACAATTCAAATTTCAATACAGTACAGTAATACCTCAACTTACGCTACCCCGACTTACGCGATTTTCAAATCTCGTCGATTCGTCTTTTGTTTGAGCACTACGCAACTCTTGATTACTCACTCCCCCCACACCATTGTTCATCTTACATGTTCGGAAATGTCGCGCAGAATTGACACATAGCTACAATTTATTTTGAATTATTTATTTCTGTGTTTGTTATATCTACGGAGACTTGAGAGACTCTATGTGANTTTTCAATAAAATCAGTCACTTTCTGATAATACCTCGAGATTTCCTTTATCGAGAGAGATCCTTCCATGACGAAGCAAACACGCAGACTGAGACCGACGAACAGAAGTGAATAAAAAATGGCGCTGCGAACTAATGTATGGTCGTATGGTGAGTTTTTGTTCGTATCGTGGAGCAAAAATATGTTCGTGTCATATCCTGAAAATTTCGTATGCTGGGGTGTTCGTATCCTGAGGTACCACTGTATAATAATTTAACAACTTGTTTATGTTTATTATTTAAAACTTTATTTCATGTTATTTAAGTTAAATTTTACAATTTAAATTTGTGAATTTTAATACATTCTAAAATTGAAATGTGAATTCTTTTAAACGTCACCTGATTATTTGATATTCTGTTTTTTGAACTGTATCTAAGTTCTGTTTGATGATGCTAAATTAGTCCAAGAAGGTTTCAAAAGATAAATTATATCAACCAAAATATTTATAACAATTAATTTTTTGACATTTGCATATGATATCAAGCTTTATGTAATCTTTTCATTTTAAAAATGAAAATTTTAAACAAAATCTCAATTTAAGTTTGTTTTAAATAAACAGAAAATCTTTAAAGCATTGGTCTTAATAAATAGCATAATAAAAACAGATTGTTTCAAAAGATTGTTCTAAAAATACTAACTTTATACTATATACTTTTTTTTTATAAATATTACTCATTAACTATTGGAAAAATCCTAAATCATACTTACATACCAATATTATTATATCTATTTATTTATATATAATATAAAATAAAATAAAATAAATGCATAACATACTATTTGAATTAACAAATTTTCTATTTAAAGTTATTTTCTGTAAGTTAAAATAAATGAATTAAAATAAAATATTTACTTCAATTCTTTTTTCATATTTTTGTCCTTGAATTATCCTTTGCACGTAGACACTAGGAACATGAATACTTTCAGGATTAAGTGAACCAATATCGACAATTTCTTCAACCTGTAAATGTAATTTTTAAATTTATTTTTCAGTTTCGGAACATCTCTATTTCTTATACAAAAACATACCTCAGCTATAGTAACTTTTGCAGCTTTACACATTGGAGTATTAAAATTGTTGGCCGTTTTCCTAAAGTTTAAAAAATAAAATATTAAATTGCATATATGTAGGAATATAAATAGAAAGGTCAATAACATTCTAGTGTTCATAATCGTCTTCAAAAGGACAATAATGTCTGTAAACATTTTCGGTCTCCCTCACACCTTCTTCAACTGTCACCTTCCTTTACTCGTCTCCTCCTCCACAACCCCTTGTTTATTTTCTTAACAGTTTAAGAATTTGACTCATCTAACCCCAACATTATGACATTAAATTAAAGATGAATAACAGTTATATATCTCAAATTAAAACAAAAAGCATAAAACTAATTATAGTAATGGATTTATGAAATTATGAATTCTGTAATTTTTTTTGTAAATATTATGATTTAGAATTTCTTTTTTCGAATCCGGGAATGTTTACAACTTTTATAATAGTATATTTCAGTAGATCTTTTCTTTAAACAATCTAAATAAGAATGTGCCACATTCTTATTTAGATTGTTTAAAGTACAGATTGTTTAGATTGTTTAAAATACAGCCATTAAAAACACCACATGTGGTGTTTTTAATGGCTGTATTTTANTTTTAAAAATCTTAGAAATACACCTAAAGCAGATTTCTTAGAATTTATGTAAAAATAAAAAAATTAATATAAATTCTTACCAACCCCATGATACCATTTTCACTATGCAAATGCACTGTAATATCAGATGGAATGTAATTACTGGCAAGCATCGGCATACCAATTCCTAAATTTACTGAAAATTAATAAGGAAATTTTCTAATTTATCATTTTATATAAACTATATTTACTATTTTCTGAATCAAGCAGCATAACTATAATATGATTAGAAAATAAAGAAAACAATTGTATTGTGCTTTTATGCGTTGGTACTGTATATAGAATTGTTTTTAGTCATTCTGAATTGATTTATAAAATAATTTTAATTCTGCTCTTCTTTGGTATTTATTATCTCTTTGATGTTCTGTAATATGCTTATTTAAATTTCTTTCAGTTGTCATAACATATATTAAAGTATTGCTTCCTTATGTTTCCAATTGTAACTGTCCGCTAACATTACAATAATGTAATGATGGGGACAGACGGAAAAGTAGAGAGCATTTGGGCATATACAGCATATCATCAGAGAAACAAGGAAACAATACTTTAAAATATGTCAGAGCAACCGAAATAAATTTAAATAAGTATGTTACAGAACATCAATGAGAAGTAAAATACAAAAGAAGAACTGCAACTTTAGCTAACTTAGCTTTGGATAGAAATTACCAATCAAAATAGGTTAAAGTGAAGCTTTGATTTACATCATGAAATCAAGCAACTTTAAATTCTTGGAAAAACTTTATATATTAAAATATATTATACATGCAACGTTTCTACACTCAAAATATCAAATTTATGGAATTATGTTATTTCATCTATAAAAATTATAATCTTTCAAAATATGAAGAAACAGTTTTGACAGTCATATTTTTTATGTTATGAATATTTAACCATCTATAACTCAATCATTTAAATTTGATTCATTTTAGAACAGCATTGACTGAAGAAGCTCAAGTTGTAAATGAGAAGAAAAGTGCTTTTAATTAATTATTTTAAAATCTTTCCAATGTTACCCATTGTACACCGTGGTTTTAGAAGACAGAACCATAGTATTGCACTGAAGAGAGACTTAACATTTATATAAGTCCGAAATGCATATGAAGTGTCTAACCTGAAAGCTGTAGGCTAATGATAGTCTACCGAACTTAATTTTCGGATTAAAGAGACATACATACATAGATCATAATAACAGCTACCAAAAGTGATATTTATAAGGAACACATTCTGAACGTTTGTATGATAGAACACTGCCATGCCTCTTCTAGTGGCAGCTTTTTTGACACTCGACACGCTTTTCTAAATGTCTTCGTGTGACTCTAATGTTCTAACCGATTGTACTGTATTTAGAANACGTGTTGATTTTGAAGGGCTACGTTGGTAAGCAGCTTGAATCCGTGCGACATTTTCTTCAGATACACGAGGTCGGCCAGGACTCTTTCCTTTACATACACAACCTGTGTCAACAAACTGACGGTACCATCTGCGAATGTTCCATCCATTCGGAGGATCAATTTCGTACCTCAACCGGAAACGTCTTTGCACTGTAATCACGGAATTACACTTCGCAAGCTCAAGAATACAAAAGCTTTTGTGCTGTGGAATAGCCATTTTACAACAACTGTGAATACGTCATTGTAACCAAGCACAACTGACATCTGGGGACAAACTAGACAATGCACTCGTTCCTCTGATACCCGCAGCACACCGCTACTATCGATAGTTTAATAAATATATCAGTTTGAAATACGTATATTCTTTTTGGTCCACCCTGTATATTTGAATTTAGCTGAATAAACTTTTACAATAATATGGTAAATATAATACTTAAAAATTGTTGTTAAAATTAAATACACAATTTTCAATTACAATAAGAACAATAAAAATCAATAGTAAGTTATAATCAGTAATAAGTAAAAAATCATTTTTCGAGTGTTAAATTAAAAAAAAAAACAAGAGATAATATGTAGTTAATCCTAACTGGTTTCTTTTACAAATAATACACAGTAAAACTTTAACCAGAAAAACTAAACGAACATGAGATAAACTAAAAATTTTTTAATATCCTCAAATACCAAATTTATTAAATGATTTCTTTCAGAAAGATTTATAGTAATATAGACAATTTTTAATTTTTGAATATTTTAAAAATAAACTTATGAAAATGATTGCCATTAATTTTATAAGAAAAAAATAAAAAGAATGGAAGATGTGTTATTGTTTATATGAATATAACATATACTAATGATATGCTTTTTTAATAAAACTTATTTTTCTTTAGTAATTTACTAATTAATTAGTAATTAACTTTTCAGCAATTATCTAATAGAAAGATTGCTCAAGTGCTCTGTACGCTCTTTATATTACATAGAGAATGGAGAATAATTATTATTGTTTATGGAAGATAAATGCTTACCCTCAATTATTTCTGAACAACAAATTTAACTAAGTTTCTATGGCAATAGTATGCTCATTGTTTGTTTCTTCTAAGTCAAAGAAAATTTTCCATTTTTAACTATTATCTACTTTTATATTTTAGAAAAAGTAGAGATAATTTTTGACTAAGGAAATTAAATCTTTCTGATAAACAAAACTACAATATTTTATATCATACCAACTCTTTATTAATAGGATATAAGTATCTCTTGTTTATTTGTATCTTATTATAGTTCTTACAAGCTTTTCCTGATATATCTGATTGTTAAATGCAATCCAAATTAATTTAAATTATATTTAATAATAATATATTTAAAATTTATAAATGTGATTTAAAATGCAAAGGATACCATACATATTATTTTTGAATTCGAGAGCAGCCCTCCTAATTATTCTTTCTCTCGTTTGTTGAGCAGGATTTTTTGCAGACGTTGCTTTACTTTCACTCTTTCTTAATGTTAAGCGCTAAAAAACATATGTAAAATTAATGATATTGATTAAAAAATCTAAATTCTTATGTCTAAATTCTTGATCTAAGTTCTCAAAATTTTAAAAAATAAGTTTGTTACAAAATGTTAAAGACATATCAAACTTAGTGTACAGCGAAACATTAAAAATCCAGTCATTAAAAAATAGATATTAACCCTTTCAATGGTAACTTTGCTGCTGATGTTCTTTTGGTCTGGGTGAAAGATTTTACCTGTCTTTTGACCAAAATGCTAATCCCTTTCATTACATTAAATGAACATAAAACTGTTTAATTTATGTTTTAAACATATTTTTTATAGTACAGTATATAGAGTCTGGTAATGTAAAAAAACCTGCTTAAAATAATACAGGAAATGATTTCATTTAGAAAAAAAAAAATATAAAATTTTACAAAATTTTAAGTAATTTTTTTTTGCTAGTTCTAAAAAACTTGTTCCTCCATTCACTTTATGTGAGATAATAATTAATTATGATTATGCCTGTTTTACTTAAACAATTCAGAATTTAAGTTCTTTGTCATATTTTATGTTTATGTGATTGTTTGAATATAGTGAAAATAATAAGGAATTATGTCTAACATTCATTCAAAATTCATAACTTTTTAATTTTAAAATTATGATTAGTGTACTTTTTTAAATATAGTGATTCAATAAATTATATCTTGAATCTATAACCATAATGTTCCTATATTCCTTGTAAAATACTGGCTTTAACTTAAACACTTAAACTTGAATTATAGTATACTTGCAGTTTACAGTACAGGTAACCCCCGTATAACACGGGAGTTACGTTCCAAAAAATTGTCGTGTTATGCGATTCCGTGTTATACGAAACAAAGAACTAGTGCAAAAAGAGGGGTTAGGTTCCAAAAATTAAAAAAACATGCTGTTAAATCCTTACTTAAATCAGATTTATTATTCATTTTTTCATAGGTAAAATACTTATTTATTATTTAAGAAAATATTTTACCAGAGGATTATTCATCATATATAATGATCTCCGCATGAGCATCATCAACTGGTAACAGTTTTTGGGTGCGTTCGTTAATAGCGGTCGCTCTGCAACGGGAGTGCACTGCTGTTTGTAGGCATTTAGGAACGACGGTAAAAGAAAGATGGCGGCACCCGCACTATCGATAGTATCATGATGGAGGAATCTATAATTCTAAAATGATCTTTTAGAGGCAAAAGAAGGGTCCCAATTGTAAAATTTAACCATTAAATGGATTATTTGTTGAAAGAGCATTCAAAGTAGCCATGAAAACAATTAGAATGCTCGTGCGGAGTTATGTGGAAGCATAAAAGAACGCACTCTTTATTACATTTCATGTTGTACGAGGGTTTTACCCAATTCCTGAACCGTGTTAAAGTGAATCCGTGCTATAGAAGTGCCATGTTATACGGGAGTTACTAATTTACATGTACATTTGAAAATATGGATGGAGTATGGCCCCAGTTAGTCCAGATTTTCAACTCTTCACTGTA